TTGGAAAAAGAAGCTCCTAGAAGTGTGGACGAAGCCAGCGAGGGAGTAATGAACGAGCTTGAGGCATTTCACAGTCCTTAGCCAAGAAGCAAAGGCAGAATAGAGGACCCACATGCGGTGATGGATATGGCCTGGAAAGTGCGATTGTTGGTCACAAACGGCGATCAAACTAAAGAGCTAACGATGGTGATCGGCGCCGGCGATGGTGATCGGCGCCGGCAAAGAAGGATCGAGCAAACGCAAAGCACCTCGGTCAACTCTAATCAGTAAAACAAAGCAGAGCAGAGGCATGGTCGCGAAGATGACGGAAATCATGCAACGGTGGATGCTGATGTGAAAACTCAGGAGGAGGGGCCGACCCAGTTGGCAGTAAGTTGTCGGGGTCGGAGAAGATATCTTGCTTCAGGACTTGGAGGGCGACGTAGGAATCGCGGAGGCGGCGGTCCTCGAAGGAGATGGATGGGTCGACGGCAACGCTCTCGTCGCGGTCGCCGAACTTATCGAGATAGTGGAGGAGGCGGCGGTGCTTGGCGTGGCGGTTCCATAGGCGGCGGTGGAGAGGATGGCGAAGGAGAAGAAGACAAATAAGATGTCAAAAAGGAATTTGGAGGAGCCACGTCCTTTTACACAATTATCCGTCCAAATGAACTGGTCTTTTAATAAAAAAATGACACCTCAGATAAAATTTTTAATTATAAAAGTCATGTAATTTCTCTACCCAAAATTTTTCGCTTGAAGCACTTAAGTAATCTTTTTTTCTCCGATTTGGTACTTCAGTGAACCGGCAAAAATTTTTGGCACTAAAGTGAGTGCCGTGCATAACTTTTGACACTTCTAGTATCTTTTTCTCCTAGACATTTCTTTTTTAATTCGCATTATACTTAGGATAAAACTTTAATCATTTCATGCATGTCTTTAATTTTAAAAACCAAAATATCAGAAAATTTCAAGTTTTAAGAAATAGCATGCTATTACATTCTAGATCTGCATCACGTTGCATATAGCTAGAAATCTTGCATAGCATAATTGCCCATTTCGCATGCATTCATTCTGGAAATCATATCAAACAAGTATTCATAAATAAATTTTTATTCACATTTAGAAGAATCATATTTGTGATAGTTATTCGTGCTTCATATAGAATAGGAAGGGGAAAAGTGTAAGAAAAGTCATAAACCTTTTACATTGATGTCAATTGAGTCCTAAACCTTTTTTAGTGCCAATTGAGGCATAAACCTTTTGTTTTTGTGTCAATTCAGTCCTTTCGGCTAATTTTGGCCAGATTTTGCCGACATGGACGTCGGCTGGTCACTGGCGCTGATGTGGATAACTTTTAATAATATTTTAAAGGGATAATGACACAAACAGTCCTTGAATTTTGATTCAATGTGCAATTTGATCCCTAAATTTTTAATTTATTCAATATAGTCTCTGAACTTTAACCCAATATTCAATGTGGTCCCTGATCTTTTATTTTATTCAATGTCATCCCTAAACTTTTGGTACATATTCAATTCAGTCCCTAAACTATATGAAAATGTTCAATATAGTCCATAAGCTTGAATTAATGAAAAGGATTGCATTGAACATTTTCATATAGTTCAGGGACTAAATTGAACATGTACCAAAAATTCGGGGATGATATTGAACAAATTAAAAGTTCAGGGACTACATTAAACAAATTAAAAGTTCAGGGACCAAATTGCACATTGAGTCAAAGTTCAAGTACTGTTTGTGTCATTTTGCCTATTTTAAATTTTTTGAATTTTTTTTTCTTTTTCTTTCCTCCCCTCCCTCCTTCCCCTAGCCAGTCGCCAGTGAAAAAAAAAGAAAAAGAAAATAAATAAATAAAAATTCAAAAAATATTAAAAATATTATTTAAAATTATCCACGTCAGCGCCAGTGACCAGTCGACGTTCACGTCAGTAAAATCCGATCAAAATTAGCCGAAAGGGCTGAATTGGCACAAAAATCAAAGGTTTATGACTTAATTGACATCAAAAAAAGATTTATGACTCAATTGGCACCAATGCAAAATGTTTAAGATTTTTCTGACACTTTTCTCTCCTTTCTTTCACCCACACAAGCACGTTCTCCTCCGTGCACTCATTTTAATTATTTCTTATTTTTTTATTTTTTTTTATTTTTCTTTCTCTTTTTTCTTTCCTTTTTAAAAAATCAAAATTTTTATTTTTATTTTCTCTTTTTCTTTTTTTTCTTTCTTTCTTTTTTCCTTTCCTTCTTTTTCTTTTTTCTTCTTTCTCAACCGATCGTCGACCATGGCGATAGACCACAGAGTCATGGCAAGCTCGCTCAAGGTCGATGAGGTCGAGCTCACCCGAGACCGGAGAGCTCGCTCACAGGGACTCGCGAGGCTTCAAGCCTTGCTAGATCAGGCAAGCTCGCCGCAACTCGTGAGGCCTCAAGCTCGCAAGTCGACGGTGAGCAAGCTCAACCTTGCGGAAATGTGGTGAGGCTTAAGCTTGGCTGAGGGCGGTCGCTGTGGTCGACAACCAGCAAAAGAAAAAAATAATAAAAAATCGATTTAAAAAAATAAAAAATTATTGAAAGCAGTGTATGAAGGAAAATCAAATTAGATTTTTCATACCAAACGGCGGAACATATCTTCCAGGTCTTTTTCAGATTTCAGCCGAACATCAAAAAATTATCATTTTCCTGAAAAATAGCTTTCTCGAAAACATTTTCCAGAAACGTCACATTTTTCGCGAAACGAACGAAGCCGTTTCCTAATTTTTACATGTCATTCTACGTTAGATAACATTTTAAGTATCATAAATTACCATTTAGAATTTTGCATACTAAGCAAGTATACTCCATATTCTTCTACAGATTTGCATTGAAGGAAAGTGATTTTCCATTGGCATGCATAGCATTCCATTTAAGGTCGGTGATATTTATTTGCCATTTTTAGAATTTAGTTGTGAAAAGTAGAGTATTTTAGAATTCATGTCCATACGGGAAAATTACCTTAAAAGTCCTTAACTTATTGTATTTATATCAATTCAATTATAAACTTTTCAATTTAGCCAATTTAGTTATAAACCTTTTGTCGATTTGCCAATTTTGGTTGGAAATCTCTAACATGGAGAATTTTTCTATATTATTTTTTAAATTTTATGATTTTTTTTATTTTTATTTTTTTGAAGAAAATGAAAAAGAATAATAGTAATAATAAATTCATAAAGATTAAAAACACCAAAAACTTAGAAAAATTGTCTACATCAGTATCGGTCATGCCACGTAGGACGACTAGAGTTGACTAAATTGCCACGTCAGTAATTTCCGGTCAAAATCGGCAAATTGTCAAAAATTTTAAGAATACATTGACACAATTGAAAGATTTAGAACTAAATTGGCAAATCATCAAAATGTTTAGGACTAAATCGGCCAAATTAAAAGGTTTAGGACGGGATTGAACTGACATAAGTGCAATAAGTTAGAACTTTTTTGTTAATTTTCCCTTTCCATGCACGTCACATTTTGTTTACATGGTTGCGCTAGTTCATTTTAGGAAATATTTTTATCTTGTCTTAGAATTTAGTTTCCTATTGTGGGCATTATGGCAAATGGAGGTTCTGCCTTATTATTATTAATTTCTTTCACTGTATTATATTGATCCATGTTAAGAAACTAAATTACACCAAAATTGCCTGTTAAGGCTTTCCTTAAAAGAGAACAACGATACCAATCCATGACCTTTAGTTTTATCTAATTTAATAAAGTTTTTGTAATCAGATTCTCTTATTCACAGAGATGAAGAGATCTCCTGTGCTTCACCCGGTTCCTAGTCGGCCTAGTAAATAAGTTAATGGCAGCTCTAAAACAGTATTATATTAATGAGAGAAATCAAGTTGCTACGGTCGATAGGGTTGCGGAAAACCTCGTGTGAAGTGTAAGCGCCACCTCGCAAGAGAATTATTTACGCCCACCTAATTACCCGTTAACTCTCTTGGGATTCAAATAGAGAGGGTCGCGATAAATCCGAATCATCAATCCATGTCTTATAACCCCACTTATCCATGTGCACGGTTCGGTCCGGACGACAAGATTTTGGCCGTCCCTATCTTTTTTTCTACCCATAACTTTGATCTTTCCAAATGGGGCAACTTTGAGAGTGAACGTGATAATCATCACGGACCCATTATTTACGGGAAAATTATCCAAAAAGTCCTAAATTTATGTCCTAAACATTTCAAGTTTGCCAATTGAATCATAAACCTTTTCACTTCTTGTCAATTGAGTCTATCCGGTCAATTTTGACGGGAAATTGTTGACGTGGACGCCGGCCTGGCCACGTGGCGCTAACGTGGACATTTTAAAATAATATTTTAATAATTTCCTAAATTTTATGGTTCCTTTTTTTTTCCTTTTCTTTATTATTTTTTTTTTGGGTTTTGGAGTTAGGGCCGACCACCCTCGCCGGCCCACCCTCGCCGACTCTGGGTGAGGGGGTTGCGACCCTCGCCAGCTCTGAATTGGCAAACTTGAAAGGTTTAGGACTGAATCGACAAAAGTGTCCAGCCACCCTCGCCGGCTCTGAGCGAGGACGCCGCGGCCCTTTTCAGCTCTGAATTGGCAAATTTGAAAAGTTTGTGACTCAATTGACAAAAAAATAATATATTTAAGACTTTTTGGACAACTTTTCGCATTATTAGCACCCTGAATCGAGCACCCATTGCATTCCATCCCAATTAACGAAACACAAATAAAAATTTGTTGCCCCTCAAAAACAAAAGAAAGAAAGAAAGAAAGAAAGAAAGAAGAAGAAGAAGAGAGAGAGAGAGAGAGAGAGAGAGAGTGGGATTTCAAAGGACAGCAGCTGACTTTACAAACAAACAAATAAAAATGTCATCTTTACGGGTTTGGGAAGTTTGAGGTCATGATGGTCCTGCCCAACCTCGTTGAATCATCCTCCTTCCCCCTCTCTCTCTCTCTCTCTCTCTCTCTCTCTCCAAAGCCAGCACAAAAAAACACGGCCTTTCTCTTTCTCTCTCCTCCTGTCCTCTCTCTCTCTCCCTCTCTCTCTCTCTCTCTCTGCGCGCAGAAATTCAGAGCCCGAGGAGGAGGAGGAGGAAGAACAGGAAGGTGGTGGAGGGTGGTGTGGATCGGCGTATACCCAATATTTGAATTGTGGAAGCTGAGGTCGATATACCCCCCTTCCCTCCAATGTTACCCGCCCTCCTCTTCCTGACGTGGGTCCTCGCGGCGAGCTCCAGCTCCTCCCCCGCCGCCGCCACCGCCGCCAACTACGGCGTCTTCAGCCTCAAGTACCGGTACTCCGGGCAGGTGAAGTCCCTCAGCGTCCTCAAGGCCCACGACACCCAGCGCCAGCTCCGCATCCTCGCCGGCGTCGATCTCCCCCTGGGCGGCATCGGCCGCCCCGATGCCATCGGGTAACGAGTTTTCCCGTTTGCCCCCCCCCCCCCCCCCCTCTTTGTCTTGGGTTACCCTTCGTCGGATGGGTTTCTTGGAATTTTCCGTCCCTCCGGTCGGCTTCTGCCGGCGGTCGTTGTTGTTGACTTGCGCGACTCCCTATTAGGAGCTGGTGATACGCGATTTGGTGTGTGTTCTTGCGTAAGGAAAGCTCGGTGTCTTGATGATCAGACAGGGCTTAGTCATGTATAGGGGCCAATTCCTTTCCAGTTTTGTGTGGGAACTGATTTCTTGGTCTGGATTGTTTTAGGCTTTATTATGCGAAAATCGGGATTGGAACCCCTGCGAGGGACTACTATGTACAAATCGATACGGGGAGTGATCTCATGTGGGTCAATTGTATTCAGTGCAGAGAGTGCCCCAAAAGAAGCTCCCTCGGCGTACGTAGATGCTTTCGTCTCGCAGCTGTTCCTTTGTTCTAGCATTTCTCGACTCGACGATTCTTTGATCTGATTCATTGTCTTTATTCTATTAGATAGACCTCACGCTGTATGATATAGAGGACTCGGACACTGGTAAACTGGTCTCCTGTGATAACCCGTTTTGCATAGAGATTAGCGGAGGTCCCTTGACAGGTTGCACCGCTAATATGTCTTGTCCATATATTGAGATATATGGCGATGGGAGCTCCACCGCCGGATACTTTGTAAAGGATGTGGTACAATATGCTCAGGTATCTGGAGATCTCCGGACAACAACCGCAAATGGAAGCGTTATATTCGGGTCAGTTTCTTCTTCCCCGTAATTTGATCACCACGTAAGTAATATGCTAGACTGCTAGTAGGGTTATTGGTCCTTCAGCTGGATAGGAGCATCCTATGCCATAATTTCTAGAACTTGTCACTAGAAGAGGGGTCCTCGGTACATAATAAATAGTTACCTTGATGCATATTCAGTGACTGCTTGCATTTTCCTAGTCTTGGGAGATACCATGTTGGTGGCAGATCAAGGTAGCAAATTATTCACTTGCACTGTCTTTTCTATGAAGTATGGAAAATATATTTCAGGACAGGTCCCCTTGTCTTTGATGGTTGTGGAAATCATTTTACGTGGAAGTTCAATAATTGTTTCGGAATAGGGATTTAGCTTTCTTGAGATGATGCCTTAGATTATGTCCGTTTTTAGCTGAAAGCATACTCTAGTTCTTAAAAATCAGATATTCTGATGCATGCCTCTTTTGTACAGGGGCGGCACCCCCTCAGTACCCTTTCAATGAATTTTGTCTTAACATTAAAAGAAGAATGTGTCTTCTGTTTTTGTGCTTCTATAGCTAATTGACTGTTGAGACGGATGTATACTTTTGCTTTTAAACTACCTGTCTCAGTACCATTATAGGTGTAGTGGCATATATCGGGAGAAATAGCGTAAAGTAAGGGGTATCACGGACAAAGTAGCAATTGACTGAGTGTTTTGGTGGTTGGTGAGTGGAGGGGGTGTTACATATAAGTTACAGTGAGGAATTTGTTGAAAGGTCTAATACATGCTCAGTTCAGTCTTTAAAATGGTTTTGCTGTTTGTGACGTATAGGTGTGGTGAGAGACAATCTGGAGATTTAGGTTCAGAGAATGAAGAGGCACTTGATGGGATCCTTGGTTTTGGAAAATCAAATTCATCAATGATTTCACAGCTAGCTTCATCTGGAGATGTCAAAAAGATGTTTGCTCACTGTTTAGATGGTACAAATGGCGGTGGTATCTTCGCGATCGGACATGTTGTTCAACCAAAAGTGAATACAACTCCTATGGTTCCCGACCAGTATGTTTTCTTCTCCTCTTCTTTTGGGTGCTTTGATGCATTTCCAAGTTGCATATCTTTTAAAACGTCTTTATTTAAATTTTAGTTATACTTTTCTCTTTGAGTGGTTTCCTCCTTTATACTCTTTCCTTCGTATTAAATTGTTTAACTTCTCTAGATAACTCTTAGTATCACTGGCCAAAAAACCCCTGATATTTGTGGATAACTTTTTGTCCTTGTCCAAATTTTAAGTCTTGCTGATTTAATTTAAGTGAAAAAGGTAACTCTAGAAGGACTTCTCGATTTGGTACTACGATCACTTGGCACGTATATGATGTTAAAGCAATTGTTAAAGAGCTTCTAGCATAATTCTAGTGTGCTGGCCCAGGGCAAGACTTTGCCCCGAGTTTTGTGGACCATAGTTTCTTACCCAAGTGGAGTCATGAGGCTCACTGTTTAGGTGCTATGTGCCGGCTCAATCATGTAACCATAGAATTGATCCGCCGTGCTCAAGGCCACCCTGATATCAGATGAGAATGGAGTTCATACATGGATTACTCAGTTTCCTCGGAAGAAGTTTTGTCTTGCTATAAATATACCCTATTATGGGCCCGTTTGGTTCGGCTTTTCAAATGCAACTTGGGGGAATGCAAATACCTTTAGGTGAAAGCCACTTGGGGAAATGCAAGTGGTGTTTGGTAAAAAAAAATTTGTGAAGCTACTTTGGCCTAAGTAGTGTTTGGTAAATTTTTTTTTTGCAAAGGGCTTTGGCAATTTTTATTCTTAATATTCCGGTTTTGCCCCTATTACTATTCATCTTCTTCACCGGCAAGGGTGGCCGGCGAGCTGGCCGGCGACGGCGGATCTGGCTGGCGAAGGCCCGGCGAGGGGCCGGCGAGGTCGCCTGACCTAGGCGACGGCCGCCTGGGGTCGGGCGACCGCCCAGGCGACCTCGCCGGCCCTTCGCCGGCCACCCTCGCCGGCCACGTGAAGAAGATGAACAGTGACAGGGCAAAACCGGAAAATTGAAATTTGAGTGAGGGCAATTTGGGAAGGAAAAATAAGCTTCAGCATTCCAATGGCATTCCAAATGCTGGCTTTCGGCTTTCCGAGTCCGGAAAGCCGAACCAAACGGTTCAGCATTTTGGGAAGGGGCTTTCGAGGCCGAAAGCCCCTTCCCAAAGCTGAACCAAACGGGGCCTATGTCATTGGTTTTGCTTATGGTGTTGTTTCTGGATGCCAACTTTAGTCCAGTAATTTTAACACATGCTAAGTCAAGTTTATATAATCTCTTCCCTAATATTTACAGGCCACATTACAGTGTCAACATGACTGCAGTTCAAGTCGGTCTTCAGTTCCTAAATCTTACAACAGATGTGTTTGAATTAGGAGACAGAAAGGGCACCATACTTGACAGTGGTACAACCTTGGCCTACCTTCCAGAAATTATCTATGACCCTTTAGTAAGCCAGGTCTGTGGTATACCAATATGTCGATGTTCAGTATTCTCTCATATTGTTCATTTAGATTTATTTGTGCCTTTTTTGTTTTCAGATTGTTGCTCAGCAGCCTGATTTGAAGGTCCAGACGGTTCGTGATGAATACACTTGCTTCCAATATTCAGAGAGGTATAGTGTATCTATAGCCACATTGATACTGATCCATCATTCAGAAAAAGGCATTTTGTAGTTATATATGTTGCATCTGAGTTTATAAATGTTTTTGCCCTGTAAAGGAATTTATAAAGGTGTCAGGAACCTGCATAGTGCTTTTGCCAATATCAACACATTCCTAGGGGGAAAAATGAAGAAAAAGAGGTCTAGATGGACTAGCAAAATGTTTTCCTGTGGGAGATTTGAGATCCCCTCTCAGCCAAATCTCTGTCCCAAAGCAAAAGAGGATTATGTTCTGCAGTTTTTCTTAAAGCCATTGTAGCATTTCCGGTTCTGACTTAGTCTCGTTTCGGTGTCAATTTATGCTGAAGTGTACTAATTCTAAAACAGCTCTTTTAGGAGGAATTGTTCCCCCTTAGGGGCAAGGGATCTTTTTTGTGCATACCAACTACTGCCACTGCTTCTGGCTTTCACAAAAGCCAATAGCTGGTAGCTGATTTCACAAGCTCGAAAGAAGAGAAAAGATTACGGTGTCAAAGCTCTTTTTTTATTTGGAAAGAGTTTCCAGGGGATGTAATCTTATGTCGGTAGTATTCACATGATTTTGACATTCTTCTAACTGCCAAACATAGATTTTTACATGGTGGTATACTGCATCATGTAGCTTTTACCTTTTATTGCACAATAACTATATGATCTCATTCATGTATGTTTCTCCTGTTGCAGCGTTGATGAAGGATTCCCTAATGTCACTTTTCATTTTGAAAATTCGCTCACTCTGAATGTATATCCTCACGAATATCTATTTCCTTATGTAAGTATGATAACCGACAATCTCTACATGCTTATTCAATCTCTGCATTTACCTGTTTAATGATGCCTTTCCTTGGTTTGAATTTTAATATGCTTAACTGTTTGTTATACTATGAAGGGTTGTGGACCTTATTTTTCATAGAGAAATAGAGGAACTATGGGTCATGATTCTTCTTGGAGAAAGATAAATGACTTTTGACATTGATGTCATGGAGGTTCTTGATAGTTGATATCCTAATAAGGAACTGGGGTAATCACTTTCAATTTGTTGCTTATAATATGAAAATAGAAAATTGGGAAGTTTTCCAAAATCAAACAAGGCCAAAGCTGCCAGGGATCTGGGACTCAATTCATTCTATACTATTGGTCCTATTTGTCTGTATATGTCACTTACGGTAGTTATAAAGTAGTCTGGAAGCAAATGAGGAGGAGCTCTGAAATGTCGTGTAGTGTTGAGCTGTTGACTCTGTTTCCTCCAGTGTTGTTGTGGCAAGAGCCTGTCTCTTGTGGCAACTAGAGCTGGTGGAGCTCATGGTAACAATATGTTCATTTGAAGGAAGAGGTTCCCTGGTTCTGTAAGAGCAGGACCAATTGGTAGAACTTTAGAGCTGGTCTTAAAAGGGTTCCATTGAGGAGCTCTGGTTTTCATGGAGATTAATAAGACAGGAATGTATCAATTTGCTACCTATTTGGTCACTTAGAACTCCAAATGTTTTGTGCATAGTCTGTAAATAATGCTGCTGATTGCACATCTAAGCGTACACCCTGAATTGAGAAAAATAAATAATGAAAATCTGAACTTTATTTCCTTGCTTCTGCGAAGGGAACTAGGGAAAATAAAAAAAAGTAATGGGTTAATGGGTGAATAAGATGGATCAATATTTCATTGTAATTTGTAGTAAATTACAGGTATATAATCTATCATCGTGGCTTGCACATAAATGTGTTTAAATTTCACTGCCATTCAATATGCAAGCAGGACACTATCAAATGGGATTAGACTGAGGGACTATATTGTGTAGGGGCTGAATGAAATCTCAACCGATGTGTAGGACCAAATAGTGTACTTTTCTATTTGTGTGATATTTGTTATATTGGGCTAGTGGAAAGATGGGTACTTACCTCGAGTTTATCTATTCACCTTTCCTATTTTATGCATCTATCTTTATTTCATTCATTTGAAAGGTTCATTTTCCCAATACTGGTTTCACAGGAAGGTTTATGGTGTATTGGTTGGCAAAATAGTGGGATGCAATCTAGTGACAGAAGGAACTTGACACTTCTCGGAGGTATATCACTGTGTAATTTTATACGTCTTCTTACAGAACCCTCATTGTTGTATTATCTTTTCTCCTTTACTTGGAAATTTGATATTTGGCAAACATTTATCACCCAAGCATTTTCGTGGCTGATATAAAAAGAGCATTATCTTGGACACTCGATTTCTGCATCCAGCTGATCTCTACAGTGTAAGCCTTGTGTCAGAGGTATTTTCCAGAGATGTCAGCATTAGTTATCCCTATAGCTGTTGCTAACAAGCTGTCCTTAAGACAAAGGACACTTGATTTCTACCTCTACGTGATCTCCACAATGTAATCCTCATATCTGAGGTATTGATTGTCCCAGAGGTGTCAGCATTAAATGATCCCTATAGCTTTTACTGACAAGCTCTCTCTCTCTCTCTCTCTCTCTCTCTCTCTAAATTAAGTGTTGATGCCTTATTGGTTCCACGATTTGAGGTTTCAATACCTTACAAACTGATGCCTAACTGTGCAATCTTAATTTTCGTTCTGGCAAGGCCTTGATTTCAATGTTCTAAGAGGACATAAACTTCTCTTAGGAGGAAATAATAGTAGACCTGTCGATAGCATGTCAAATTCAGTGAGGATGAGAAAGGCCTTGAGCAGGCACTTCCTAATGAAACTTTCTTTTATGGGCAATTCTGCTCTAGTTTAGAGACGTGGTCATCTCAAATCCTCCATGGTTCTCAAGCTGAACTTGTCATGCCATTCTTATCACAATTAACCATCAATCTCTCTCTTTGTCAAGGAAGCTGCCTATCATATCAGAGAGTGTGCTGTGGCCAACAGCATGCTCCACTGTACATCAAAAAGTTATATCTTTTTGGTGTCCCAGTTTTCACCATATTGTGGCAGCAGGTTATATTTAACCATTTGGACTTGAACTTACTTTTCCCCGATTGTTTGTTCTAACCTCATAATTTGTGTGTAATGCTACTTTACCCTCTTAAAATTTGTGATTCTGCCTCCTTACTTACTGAAACTACTGGCTGCTTCCACTTGGGTCTTTCAATGATTAATTAATTTATATTGTCGCACCTTTCTTATCTTTTAGTTAAGGCTTTTAGGTCTTTAGTCCTGTGAAAGTTGGTTTAATTGAGATATGTGACCAGATTTTTGTGAAGAAAATAAGTGTATGGATCATCTTCAGCAGTGTTCCTAGGGACTGAAATTGAATGCACACCATTGCTACTTTTATGACAGTTAAAGATTTTGTTGTGAGTTATGTTTAGACACATTAAACACAGAATTTCTTGTACTCAAGGTCAAGAAGCCTGATATCTTGTTTGGTCCATCACTGTGCTGCCGTGGACAATGCCATCCCATATTTTCACTGTCAAATGCTATTATATCAGTTCTTTTCCTGTACTTAAAATAAAGAATCTATGCTAAGCTTCATGTGCTGCTCTGCAGATTTAGTGCTTTCAAATAAGCTTGTTGTGTATGATCTGGAAAACCAGGCCATTGGATGGACGGAGTACAACTGTAAGTACCACGTCACTTTTCCACTGTTGTTTATGGATCTTTTCTTCGTTCCACTATGTTTCCATTGAACTCGTATAAGGTAGGAATATGCTAGTACTCTCAAGTTGTAGGTGAGATTTGGATGTTAAGGTCTAAATTGGACAGCTGAACAAGAAGCATTTGCTTTTACACACTAGTCTTTACCCTGGAAGGTCTTGTACCTTGTGTATGTTTGGTTATATGGGAACAAAGAATGTGGACATTACCATGATCAATGATTCTATAGTACTTAAGGTTAATGAGCAACTATTCCTGTTTCTTGACTATTGTTGTTTCTTTCAGGCTCGTCAAGCATTAAGCTGCAAGATGAACACAGTGGAACGGTACATTTAGTAGGTTCCCATTACATTTCCTCTGAAAGCCCTTCCTGTGATGTAACGGCGTTGGTTGCCTTCATTTTACTAATGACGCTGCTGCAGATATTCATATACCAAAACATGTGAGAGTCAATCAAATAAAGGTGAAAGTTAACTTATAGGGAAGATTGTTAAACTGATTACACGACTATGAAGTAGGCACTTTCGACGATTGGGAGTGATCATGGTTTGCCCGAGCATCCTAGGATAATGTAGTGTCACTTTAGGTTGATAATTTTTGTTCCAAAAGTGAAAATCTTATATTCCCCATAGTTAATGCATGTATAGTCTCTCTCTCTCTCTCTCTCTCTCTCTCTCTCTCTCTCTCTCTCTCTCTCTCTCTCTCACATGTGCAAACAATTCTATGAAAAGGCCAAGTAATCCGAATATAGATATTCCTCTCTGATTTTAGTTCTGCTGAAGCCGTGTTGGAAATTTTTGCTTGTAATCTCTTGAGCATTCTATAAACTGGACTTGCAAAAAATGGTTCTGACTTGTCTTTTATATTACTTTTCCTGCTAGCCCAAAAAACAATCGGTTCTTTAGGTTCCTTAACTACACTGTAATTACTTAAGATCAGACTCTGACATCCGGTACTGCGGGTGCGCAAATGCCTTTTATCTTTATATGAATCTGACCCGACGTATCTTCAGTGTGGGAAAAAACTGAAATTAAGGGACACATGAAGCTCAAACTTTAGTTTCGTCATATACCTTGTGATGTTGTTCAGCTGTAACATTCCCTATTTTGTTATTGGAGGCTCAGTGTCTAAACCAATTCCGAAGAATTGAGCATAGTCGCTAACTAAATCACTACTTACATCATGTCATATACTAATGTTAACATCATAGTCGGCAGCGTTGATCATTCTCTCTGCATCTACTAGTTAAATTCTTGCATCTCACTTTTGTTTATGATCCTTTTGCGGACAAGAGGTGATCAATACCGGCAAACTGTTGCGCAAACGTTGGTAAACACAGATGATAAGGTCGTAGTTGCACTATAGTTACAAGGTGTTACATAAGGTGGATATGCCTCCAATTTGTTCTCGTACTTGGTTTCTCTAGGTTTCGGCATTAGACCTATCGACATGCTTTTACAGGTGTTCTTCCTTGTGCATGATCGGTCATACATTTCACATGATGGTGCAGATGGCCCCAACTGGGTGCACGCACTCGATCTATCTAATAATAATCCACAGAAATCTCTTTTTAGAGGGAGTTTTTGGCGGGATTTTGCATACGCCTGATCATATTCCACTATAGTAAGCGAGATACAAATTGAATCTAGCCTCACTCGCATTGGAAATCCCAAGAACTAGGGTTCAAAGAGTACTTGAGGTGTGCGTAGGTGAAGGAGAGCTTTTGGAGGGGTGGCAACGGCAAGCCTCCGCCGACCACGCAGTCGTTGCGATCCACCACCTTGAGCAGCCTCGGGCTGACCAGGGACTGATTGAAGCTCTTGCATTTGACGTGCACGTTGATGACCGGACACATGGGGCAGTTGTTCTGCACTTCGACCCGGAACTTTGGAGGATCTCCAAACCCAACTTGAGTTTGCTTCACCGTCGGGCCGTTGGCGGTGCACCTGGCTCCCGATCCTGACACAAAACGAAACGGTTAGCATGAACAAATGTCGTTGACACATGCGTTCGTGCCGCACAAGGAGAGAGAGAGAGAGAGAGAGAGAGAGAGAGAGAGAGAGAGAGAGAGAGAGAGAGACCAAACTGAAGGAGACTGGAGAAGGAGATGAAGAGCCAGGGGAGGAGAGCGAAGGATGCTAGGCTTTTCATGTTGAGCGAGAGAAAGACTCTGGACAAAGTGTTTGAATGATTGTGGTGTGTCCTTTGAGTAGCATGCAACCACCCTGATGTATATAAAAGCATTTGGGAAAAGAAGATTAGCGTGCGTGAACGCTTGTTCTGTGGATGAGATGGTAAGCTGATACACAGTCACAATGAAATAATGCATAGCCATTCAAGAAAGCGACAGCAGAGAGAGAGCGAGCTAGCTAGCTTTGGTCACATGTAAAGTTCAGAAGCAAAAGGGGAGGGCCTGGCCAATAATTCTTCTGTAAAAGAAGATGCGCCTGCAAATCCCATGCATGGCCCCTATCTCTCTTTCTCTCAGTCACATGCTCTGGTTCACCATCGTAGTGGCAAGTCCACGAGAGACCATCACGAGACCGAATTATGATGGGGACGGGTCATGCGAAAGGGGTGGGGGAGGAGACGCGCAACGGAGGAGAAGTACTTGCGTGTCTAATTAGTACATTTTTCCTGTCTTGGAAAGCAACACTGTCGATGCACAAATGTCGTGCGTCGGGCATGGTCGGCTCACGCGCTTCGCGACTTGTAATCTGCAAGTCACAGGGAAAAGAAATTCCCCGGGCCTTTACCCTACCCTTCGATGCTTAAATCAGTTCGTATGTTGTCATTTATCTCGAAGCGAACTCACGATAGGTTGATAGTTTGTATGCCTGTCATTTCTCTCAAGCGAACTCACAATGGGTTCGTAGTTTGTATGGACTTGGACCATGTTGACTCTGAACGTTCTTTTCTTTCTTGTGCACGAAATCGTCCCTAATGTATTTTCCTATTCTCATGCAATATAATTTTAGTGATCTGACTCAACTAAAACCCAAGCCAAATCCACCCAATTACTCACATTTCGAGAGAGTACGTTGATCAAACCGCCACCGCCATCACTTCATCGCTACCACTCTAGCTTCACCTCGACGTTGCCGCCACTGCCGTCAATGGATCTTTTTCGATCTTGACCGCAATTAAGCAACCATCTCCATGTAGCTAAATCCCGACATTCGAAGGGAGGGAGCATCACAAAGTCCGCGAGACGCTAATCACATCGCGGTCCGGAGTGTAATCGACTTAATCAAACTCGCATTCCTCTCTTTCTCTGTCTTTTCCTTGTTTGCTCCTTGGGCTACAGAGACAACCTCGGATCGTATCTTCAACAAGTGAACCTTATCTAACAACCTTAAAAAGATGAGGAGGACACGTCGAAACGGGAGAACTGCAACTAAGGTTTATCCAAAACAATATGCACAATAGTAGGGAAGAGTGAAGACAAAAATCGACAACCATGACTCTGAGAAATCAAATCCGAAACAAAAGATGATATCACTTTTCAATAGTTCCACTTCCCAATAACTTTTTCAAAAAGAAAGATTACAGAAGAAACCAAATGAAGGCCAAATGGGAACAACAAGCCGACCCAGGACAAAAACAAAGGCCAGTGCCACCTCCCCAACCAATACAAAACCCCCCACCCCAAAAAATGAAAAAGAAAGAAGAAGAAGAAGAAGAAGAAGAAGAAGTCCTTCATCCTCACTTTCTTCTCACTTTCTTCGTGTATGAATACAACTGGTAAAAGAATCGAGTAAGATATCGAAGAATTCTATGTACTTGATGAAGAATAATCAAAGATCATCAGGTTGCTGACCTCGAAACACCACATCCAGAGAGCCATTGCTAAGAAGGGAAGGCCTCAGATGATGTCGAACCCACTCGTCTTTTTTGTTCAAAACTTTGAGGCGTACTCACCACAGGGCGTTACCACTTTCAAGGGTTCTCTTGAGGAGATACCATTTGCTCCTCGGATGCAGATTGGGAAGTAGCGTAATTGCTCGAATTTGAATCGACGAAGAGGCAAATCACAGCACAGTCGTCGACCTTGGCATACGGATACTTGAGCCTCCAAGCTCGAACGGCTGACTCAACTAGGGTTCTTGCAGCGCTTGACCTCGGTGCCGAGGCCACTATGTCTACAACTTCCTCGTTTGAGAGGACATCCCAAATCTGTCAAAAGAGGCAAGGCAACAACAACACGTGAGTTATTTAAACATGAGCCCTGTCTACCTGAATTTTCGAGTATACAAAGCCACATTTTCTCTTTCAGTGTCCATCTGGTAATTTCTATTAAGAGGACAATTATGTTGAGAACTCAGAGAAAAAAGAAAATAACCATAACAAAGTTCGGTAGATGACACTAAAGCAGTAGACAAAGCTTCTTTCCATCCAGTGCAAAGATGAGATGCTTGTAATAAACATTTGTCCGAGAAGACATGTAATCATCTCCCATAGATGCGTGCATAAATGTACAAAGTCAAAGTTACTTCTCTTTTTATAAAACTGAGCTCAATAGTCAATCCTCCAAAGGCCATTATGACATTTTATAGATCGAATTTTTGTATTATAGTAATGCCTTCTTAAGGCATCGCCACTCCATTTTAAGAATGTGTTTTCATTTCAAGACTTGATATAATTGACATGCTTTGAAGTAAAACTACTCATGACATACCCATGGACATAATGAACCAAATTAGGAGAAGATAAAAGGCTTGAATCTGAGATCATGTAGTTTTCTTCACATATCACTCAAAATATCATGATAATAAATATTGGCAGACTTCTTACCCCATCAGTGGCCAACACTACAAATTCATCCATATCAGTGAGGCGTCGATAAAAAATCTCGGGCACGGAAATCAAACCAAAGTCTTTTAGGCAGAAGTCTCCCAATGCTCGAGCCATGGCAAGACCAGGTGAGTCACAGTAGGGAAGCCATACTCGCGCAACCTCAGGTTCATTTTGTAGAGCAAAAACTCTCCCTCTACACAGCCTGATTCTCTCAAATTCTCCTGTAGGACGAAAAGACAATTTGAAAGGTGCACATCTTGTAAACTGGGAAGTTTTGAATTTCCTTTGCCCAACACAATATATTGCAGAATCTATTATCAAGGAACACAAAAAGAGAAGATCATCACTGAGCAACATGTTCCCAAAAGCGTCCTAAGCCACATCAATATCTCCAAAGTCTTGAGCTAAATAAGAAAATCATGAAGCTTTTAAAGTGCAAATCTCCCAATATTTCCTCTGTGAAAATCTTCCCCTCCTCCAGTGATCTCATATGAGGACAATCATTTCTTAGACATCTGACAGAATTCACATTAGGGAAATAGCATACCGTGGAATCTGAACTAGAAATACTGACCAAGAAAGCTTTGTAACATCCAATACACCAGCTTACAACACATTATTGTGCCTAATTCCTCTCATAGTGGACATCTATTTCTTCTATGTATATGAGATTCCAATTTTCACAAAACATGAAAGTTTAGTGACCATATTGGGCCAACCTAACACTATCTTGACAACATGTCTGCCTCTCACATATATGCATAAACAACGAATGTAAGACAAACACAACAGTTCGAGGAAAAGAAGAGCAGAAAGTACAACTCCTGGTAGTCAATGTTGTAGCAAAATTGCAAAGGTATGGTCCAAGAACATTTGAGAGAGAGAGAGAGAGAGAGAGCTACTTGGGAGATCCGGTTTGAGGTCAACAGTCAACTGGACAGCAATCAGAGAGTTATTTTCATCTCTGGTACCCAACACAGCTCTGGAATCCCCAACATTTCCAATCAGAAGATCGTGACCCTGCAATGTCAAAACAAAGTGAAAACATGAGTAAATGATTAAAGGGGAAAAGTTCACATGATAGTAGATGGCTATCGCCCAATAAGCTTCTCAACCTACTTAAAAGTGAACTGACTACATATTTCATGCCTTTTCTTGACGGCAAGTATCTTAACTTACCTGTTTGACCAAGGTGACTGCGGTTGTCCCACTGCAATAGCAATCTATCTGTGGGTGAAGTTTGAGCTCTTTGTCCATAACCTTAAAGGCCTTCAAGAACGACTCCTTCAATGTGAGAATATGACTCTCACTATGCTCGCAGTTTGGAAAGGTCTTCAGATCCTCGATAGTCTTTATATAAGGCTCTTCTGAGTTCATACTTCCCATGGCACTTCTGCTGATATCACTAAACCCATCTGGGCTGCTAACTTTCAATTCCCATTGAGCACTCAATTTCAAAGGGAGAGAATCCCTAACCTTCTTAGCTACCATATGGCCGAATGGACCATGGCCATCAAAAACGCCACAAAATGTAGTATCTGCTTTGGAGCCGAAATTCTGTGGAGAAAGTAAAATTAGAGGTGAAACCTAGGTAAAAAAAAAGTCAAAAACAGACATTATTTTATCTATCAAGACACGTTGTTGGATCTGCTCACTTCGTTTTATCAAAGGCCTTTAGCTTACCACTAGGCAGCTGTCAACATTAATAATGATCAATATTTCTTTTTTAAGCACATCTCCCTGGAAGCCATAATAGACAGTGAGGTGAGTATCTAAGCGTTCATTCATTTTCTACTGCACAGAGTATCTATACGAAAGTTACATTAAAAAAGATCAAGTACAAATTGAGACATAAATACAGGACTCATTTGCAGCATGTCTAGAGCACATAATCCAGTATTTTGTAATTAAAATCAGGCTAACATATACCGAGTCACAGTACAATGTCAAACATTTACTTGCATCATCATTAATTGGCGGTAATTTCTCTAGAATTTATATTCCCCACAAATATTGCAAGCAACCACACAAAACAATGGCATAATGGTTGTCCAGAGATAAGATTCTCACAGCAATGAATTATAAGCCAGCCTCATCTCTTGTGTACTCTTCAATCTTGTCCATCTTTGATTCTATATGCTGCTAAATTTTAATGATCCAAAACATAATAGCACCAAATATTTGGAACTGGATTCAACGTCGAATATCCACAAGAAGAGATTGGTACTAGGTTCAGAAAGGATATTTGTTAAAGATAAACCAAGTAAACTGTCGATGGACTAACGGACCTCCCAAACAATCATGGCATCCTGGTTAGCCCCTTTCTTGCCCTGCTTGGTGAATAGAGATGCCGCATCGCTCGACCCGTTCAAAAACATCCTTCCCGGAATCTGGTGCAGCCACATCTCCACCTTCGACTCGAACGAGGAATTCCTCCTCATCTGCCTATTCCGAGACGAGCTCTTCCCCTTCGTGCCGCCCGAGGAAGATGCCGGGGCACAGGGGACGGAGCTCGCCCCTGCCCCGCACAGGCACGAGCCCATCCCCAACAAAACGGCCCTCCAAATGTTCAGCAAGCACTCCAGTCCTACCAAACACTCCGCATCAGAGCCCCGCCGTAACTCCACGATGGCCTTATTGGTCGCCGTTTTGGCTCCCGCGGAAGAATCAACCAATCCCCAAGTTTTCTATCTACAGCCAATCAAACAACGCACGACCATCAAGCCATAATCTTACGGCTTTACCAACAAAGTAACCCAATAAAACACAGGACCCACCAGAGCCGCTGAAACCAGGCCACGAAGAACCCACGATAACCCGAGCACGAGCACGACACCATTACCAAGAGAAAGACAGACAAAAGAAAGAAGAAGCCAAAGATTTTTGCGATGAACCCACTAATTACCAGGAGATTCGAGGACGAAAAACCGCCAAGCCTCTTCCCCGGACCAGACGGACGGGCAGAAGAAAGGGGGGCCGAACCAGACCCGACCCGAATCAGAGAAACGGCCGCGGCCGACCCAAATGGCCGACAATTCGGGAAAGGACACACCCCGGGATTTCTTCCCTGCTCCCGGTCTTCAGCCCCGTTGCATTAACTGGGGGGTGTGGTGTGGGGGGATGGGTTTTCGCCAAATTCGTGAAGCTACCGGTTCCCCCGTCTCAGCAGAACCCAACAAGGACGACGATGATAAGATGTCGAAACGGCAAAGGGGAGGGGGAAGAAGAAGAAGGGGCGGGGGCGGGGGCGGGGCGTCGTCTCCGGATTGGACTGAAAGAGAGGGAGGGAAACAGGGAAAGAGAGAGGAGGAGGATCGAGGATGTAAGATGAGGAATTTGCCGCGATCTGAAGGAGGGAGTCAAAAAAGAGAGAGGAGGCTTTGAAAACGAAGGAGGAGGAGGAGGAGAAAGATAGATGGCGATCGTCCAGGATGCTTTCTTTTGCTCTTTAGTATTTGACCCGATCGGGGTTCCTCTGATTTGGGCCCCGCTCTGTCTCTCTCTCCCCCACCCCACCCTCTGTGTTTCGGATTTATGAGCCACGTTGGTGTCTGTCTTGCATTTAATATCAGAGAAAAAAAAAAACCCCCACTCAAAACTATGTTTGTCGCGCCGTAAATACCTCGAACTTTTTTTTTTTTCCCGTCGATATCACGAAAACCCCCCTAAATTAATAAGCTTGCGGTAAATTTACCCCAAATCGGTATATTTGTGACGAATTTACCGTGCGTTAATTTCCGTCAAATTGCTGAGTTAGATGACACGCGACAGTTAACGGGTGTACCAGTTGAGGTTTTACACTCCGTTTGTTATGGGTGTACTAGTTTGGAGTTTTTCGTGGTACGAACTCCTTTTTTTTATCACTGAAAATCATAAGCTACCCCGAACTTTTCTTTATGTCATAAAAAAACCCCGAATTTATACCGGTGTGACAAATATATCTTGGTTGGAACTGAAATAGAGTGTATGGCTTATTCGTGGTGTTTTGCATCATAGCGGGCATGTTTAGAAGTTTTGGTGAAATGAAAAAAAATTTTGGGGTATTTGTATCGCGGTGGGTATAGTTTGGGATTTTTTGTGGCGTTCGGTCGTCAAGAAAAAAGCAATCTTTGTTGTCCTTTCGGCAAAATCCGAACACTGTCTGATTCTTAGAAAAATTGCAAAGATAATACATTGGAGTCTGACCCGCTAACGATTCTGCATATATTCACAAAAATTGCACCACGGAATTTTGGATACAGAGCGAAAACGTGAGGCATAAAAATCTTCCAAACACGAAATTCCTACTTTTTGGACATTCTTTCGTAATAAAGTCACTCGAAGATTTAAGGAAGATTGTTTTTACATGTCATGAGTGCCTCCCTTGAAAGGAAACTGTTGAAGAAACGAAAATATACGGGACAATGACACAAACAATTTATGAACTTTGGCTCAATGTGTAATGTGGTCCCTGAACTTTTAATTTGTTCAATGTAGTCCCTGAATCTTAACCCAATATACAATGTGGTTCATGAACTTTTAATTTGTTCAATATCGTCTATAAAATGTTCAATATAGTTCATAAACTATACGAAAATGTTTAATATAGTCCTTCCATTAATTTAAGTTCATGGATTATATTAAACATTTTTATATTATTTAGGAACTACATTAAACATGAACCAAAGGTCCAGAGACCACATTAAACAAATTAAAAGTTCAAGGACTACATTGAATATTAGGTTAAAGTTTATAGACTATATTGAATAAATTAAAAATTTAGGGATCACATTATATATTAAGCTAAATTTCAGGAACTATTCGTGTCGTCGTCTCAAAATATGCCAATATGTCTTAGTGACTATACTTTATAAGAAATTTCGGAGAGTCGGGTAGATTTTGTAGTTCTTGGCTGGGAAAGAAGGAGAGCTACGGTAACAGCCGGGTCAACCACGGCGCCATGTGGGCCAACCGTGTCGCGCCGCGTGGGACCCGCTGTTCGGTATCAATGCGCGTAGCGGCCGTCAACAGTGGCTGCCAGATAATCTTGGTCGTGTGTGGAATTTCTTGATTTTTTTTTAATTTTCGTTTTTTTTTTTTGGGGAGGGGAATAAGTTCGATTATTGGTGTACGTTTTCTTGCTAGGGATTTTTGGGGATTTCCTTCCCAAAAAAAGGAACGAGTTTTGGACTTTTTTTTTTATAGGAAAACGGGCTAAAAACGAATAAATAAATTTAACATCCTAAATCTGCTATCCCTATTTTATCATCTAATAAAACATGAAATAACTCTATAGAGGATAATGAAAAGAAATTAATATTCAAGCGCTTATCAATTCCAAGATTAACAAGTTTGTTTAAGTAAATGCAAAGTATGTTTATCCAAATTATTTCCTAATTAATCCCACGGGTATTGAAAAATTCATAAGCTCATTCTGAAAATTGTCCTATTTTTACGACAACGGTAATTTGTCGGAACCGATCATCCTATTTGTGGACATGGATTATTAAAGAAAAATTAGGTTATGTTTTCTTGATGTTAGGAGTAAACAGATATATGAATATCGATACGATTGATGTCGTGGCTTAAATGAGCTTCTTTTTTTTTTTTGTAAATAGTTTGGAGCATCTACATATATAAGTTGCGTATTTTAGGAGAACGAAACGAGTTCATCTTTTGAGCACCCCCTACCTAAACCTTAAATTTATCTTAACTCGGGTGGTCTAAACGGGACTCCAAACTCGTTACATACTCAGCTAGAATGAAACCCGTGCAAAGCATGGAAGGCAGTGATCAAATAAAAGAACCTAATACTCCAATGCACCGATATACAAAAAGAGGTATTACGGTACAATCACATTCAATATATCGTATCGGCATAACTACTCAGATACACTTGATAGATATTTAAGGCTCGAGATCAAATAAATGGAAATACTGATGAAATTACGAAGTCGCATAAGATGACTAGCACATCATAATCTCAGGATCAATTGACACTTCATACTTAAGATTGGTTCAAGTCCCATCGTGTCCTCAAGCTGACCAAGTGTGTCTCGATTACAACGGGAATGGGTGGGTCTTATGAGGTAGTGAGTGGATAATGTGGGTCTTATGAGGTGGTGAGTGGATAAGGGACGTAAAACCCTTTTTGAGTTACGTGTTAAACATCCTCAGGCATGCCGATTGCCATACACGTTATGAATGAAAATAAAGTAAAAATTTCGGGGAAAAAATTGATAAAAATGGTTTCTGAATTTTGGCTCAATGTGCACGTGATCCCTGAATTTTTAATTTGTTCAATGTGATCGCTGAATTGTCACTCGATGTGCAGTGTGGTCCATGAACTTTCAATTTGTTTAATGGGGTACCTGGACTTTTGATACATGTTCAATTTAGTTTTCGAACTATATGAAAATGTGCAATATTGTCCCTGAACTTTAATTAATTGAAGGATAATTTTTAATATTTTTATATGACTAAATTGAACATGTATAATATTGTACGTTTAGCCAAAGTCTAAGAATATTTTATACCATTATCCCAAATTTTGGTGGACCTGCGTAGTTGCAATTCGAAATACATTTGAAATCTGATGCTGGTGCTCTTATCCATTTCGTGGGTTGCCAATTTCCCCGTTTTTTGGTTAGGGTTTATCCGGATGATGATAAGGGCGTTTTTGAATTTTCAATCATTTTCCCGTGATTTCTTCTATTTTGTAGTCTTTTTCTTCTTGTTGGTACCACTCTCAAGGGGATAATGCTTTTCAAGAAAAAAAAAATAGAGAACATTTCGACCTGAATCTACTTGTAAGGCCCCTTATGCTCTTGTCTATGAAGAGCAACTATGGTTTTTTTTTTTTAATTTAAAACTTCGTTTGTTTTACGAAAAATAAATAATTTAAAAAATATTTTCCTAAAAATAACTATTTATTTTGCTTGAAATAATTAGTTAATGAAAATTGTTTTCATTACCGACAATAATTTATATCTAAATATTTTTGTGAACGGTGAAAATATTTTTTGTTCATTTATTTTTGTAAGCAATACGAGAGATCATTATTAAGAAAAAATATTTTTCAAATCATTCATTTTCTGCGAAAACAAACGAAGGCTAAAAATTGCTAGTCTTTGACTCGCTTTCATCTTATAAGAGTTACATTTCATGTGCCTAATAGTCGTGGAGACATTCACTAGCATGCACCTTTCGATGTTGATATAACGTTAGCCAGGTGAAAGCAAAACAAAAGGGGGCGAAGGACCTTTTGGACAGGACAGAAGCTTGAGAGTGCGCCATGGAAAGAAACAGAACCATAAATCTATCAAATGTCAATCGAGATCATGATTCATAAGAAAGATTATACACGTGTACGAAAGCTAAATGAAGAAACAAGAGAGGGAAAATAATGTTTCACGTAAACTGCCTAAGGATTGGGACAATTGGTTTGGGTGTCGGGGGATTTCTAGCTCAAGAATGAAAAATCGCTCGGTTCAAATCTTTGCTAATCGCATGCCAAACTGCTCTGGGTCATGATCACTTACATAAGCCAAAGGCTTAGGCTTAATTGATTCCTGCGACTTACGGTGTGTTTCATAAGTTTTTAGGTAGCATGTCTCCACGCTTATGTTCGTGAGTTATAAGAGAAAAAAAAAATTCTATATACAGAGGCAAACTATATTCTGAGGAGTGTTTCTCTCACGTATTTCAGTGATTGATGTGATTTTTGACTTCTGACGTGACTTCGTGGTAAGGATGACCAAGATGAAAGGTGGA